GTTTTTTTATTATTCATGTATTTCTTATTACTAAATTTGAGTTAAATAATTTAAGTAAAGTAGTTATGCTATTTTGGTTAATAGTTAATTACAGATAGTTAAGTTTACTTATTTCTTTAATATTTGTTAATAAATATAGCTATCGACTTCTATATAGAGCTAAAATGAGTTAAGTATCCTTTCATTTCTGCACGATGTTGCGTTCCAAGTTGCAAATCGAATTATTATAAAACCATTGAATATATATGTATATAGGTATTCAAGTTTCCAAAAGATACATTAAAATGAGATTTCTGGATATTAAATACCAAATGAGAGTTGTATATGAGAAATATTTTTGAGAAGATGATATCATTTGGTTAAATTATTTATAAAAAAAAATTGAAGGCTCTGTTATTTAATTGTGTAAAAGACACCCTAAATTTTAACGATGCTTATCCATGCATTTTTTTCTGGTTATCCAAAATACTTAACTGAGAATCCAACTTCTCCAAGGATGAGCGCAGAGGAAAAAAGAGCCAATATGGATAAACATATTTTTAATGAATTTTTGAAAAAGGACAAAATTGCATCTTTTGAGGATTTTTCTTCTTCATTATGGAATAAACTAAACATTTCAGATGATTCAAATATAATTTCACATAAAATTTGCTGATGGAAAATTTGTATTTTATTGCTCAGTTTTAATCTACAGCCTAAAATTTGGAAAAGTATCTATGTATCACTTCATATGAATATAGCAGTGTTTCTTGTACAAGAAGCTGTTGAAATGGGAGTACAGTAAAATTCCAGAAATCCGCAAAGCTTGGGACCAGAGGTTGTGTGGATTTTAGGATTTTACAGATTTCATGACAGAAAAGAAAAATCGTAATATTCAGACTAAAAGTGCAAAATAAATAAGGTGTATTAGATACATTTAATTAAGTTATTATATACATTATTGCAATAACTTATTACAGTCATAAGTCGTTAATCCGGACTCGTCGGGACTTCGGCGATTCCGGATTATCGATTTCTCCGGATTATAGATCATCAGTTTAAATCTGGTAAGATGGCATGCAGAAATTACAAAATTAAAAATATGAAACCGTAATTTATGAAATAAAGAAAAATTATGATCTAAAGGGTATCAAAATTTACAAAAAGAAAAAGCTTAATATTTATTTGTTTACTTTATTAAACATTTCTTTCAATGTAAGTTGCTTCGTTTCATGTGATAATACTTTCTCTTTAATTCTATTAAACAGACATAATTTCTTGTTTAGTTACAAAGTCCCGCTGTTCAAGTCCTATAATTGCTGTGTCGAGAATACCGACTAATTTGTCAATCGAAATTTTTTCGTTTTCAATAACCTCTGTCGCTTTCTTCACTATCGGAAGCGAATTATAATGACGAGGAACTTGTTTTAAATCATACCAAAGACGGAGTACATCGAGATGAAATACTACATTTGGTAAGGAATTATAAGCCAAATAAAATAAAAACATCTGCTCTGAAGGCAAGGATAGTACTGACAGATCAACTTCCAATTCATTGCGCGCCGCTGCGTTCCCCCCGCCGAGCAGCGTGATTTCGTATTTCGAAACATACTTTCGGTTTAGATCCTTTACATATTAACAAATATATATAGGAAATTCTATTTGATAGAATCGAAAGTTTAAGCTTACTTTTATAAAATTGCTCTAACTGTCTGCAAAAAATAATAAGCCGGATCCAATTCGAAGATTAAGGAACAACGCAATCTGCAACATTAACTGAATTAGATAATTTTAGCTTAGCTTACACCGTCCGTTATACATTAAACTCGCATGCGTAAACGTTTTATGAGCATGCACACAAGCATATTCGCAGCCGTAAAGGTCGCGCATCTAAACGCCTATGCACATGCGTCAACGCGACGCATGCGCGGAAAGTTTGTAGCTTTGAGGTCCGGATTATAGATCATTCCGGATTATGGGTGTCCTAATGGGACCAGAGGTTGTGTGGATTTTAGGATTTTGCGGATTTCATGACAGAAAAGAAAAATCGTAATATTCAGACTAAAAGTGCAAAATAAATAAGGTGTATTAGATATATTTAATTAAGTTATTATATACATTATTGCAATAACTTATATGCATTAAATTATTATTACATATATAAACTGATTATAATATTCATTTTATTATATATACATAGCATCGAGGTTTGCCGATTTCGCCTCATGCAAAGATTACCGGTTTTGGATTCCAATGTTAGAATCACTGTCGCTGTAAAATTTCAACAGCTTTTCTTTATTTTTCTGTATATCATACACAATTGTATCGCAATTCCATACGATTCTGCTATAAACCGAGGAGTAGTACCTGTCTCCATCTTTTGCAGAATTTGCACTTTTTGCATTACTGTCAATGCAACGTGTTTACGTTTTTCAACGTTGCAAGCAGTAAAATTATGAGTCTGTTTCTTATCTGTAATTGTGTTAAAAAGGGCTGAAATTAAAAATATTCTTAGTTTATCCACAAAATATCCGAATAAAAAAAATGCAGCACTAAATAATCTCGTGAAATAACAAAGCTCAGAAAATACAACAACGTGAATCGTTAACTTAAAAGAAGACTTGAGTGAATTGTCTGCTTTCTTACCTCGATACAGATTAGAGAAGAAAAAACTTTTATCATGATGTCAATCATTTGGTATTTCCGTAATGACTCATTATTATTCGGTAAGTATTTTTTCTTCAATATTTTGTACTCAATGTTGCGTTTCCGGAACCTATAAAATGAATGTTTATGTTTTGAGAGGCAACGCGGATTTCAGAAGTTGGGGGATTTCAGGTCGGCGGATTTTCGGTATGACTGTATTTAAAAATATATTAAATGGAAATACGAAATTTATGGCCTGAATTTGAAAACATTTATAGTTATGTCAAAAGAATAATATTAAAAGCATTAAAATCTAACTATAACTTATTAGTATATAACTGGGAAGCATACGTCGAATAAAAATCACTTGAGGAATAGAACATTTTATTTTGGAACAAATGAAGATGAGTAATAAAAGTAAAATGGCTAGAAGTACTGGTATTTGCTTATTCATTATACATTATCCCACCAGCCACCGAGCGGTAAAATCACTGAACACTGGCATTTCTGACCTGCGTTTGAATCCAGGCAAAGGGGCTGGCTGCAAGGGCATTTTCATGATTTTCCCGTGTATAACGTGTATACGAGCCAGTTTCCCTTAGAAAGTCCTTCGCAAAGGCAGCCCTCAGACAGATAGCCCTAGTTTGCTTTGCTGTAATAAACTAAATCAAGTCAAGTGAAATCATTATATAGTAAGTAAGCTGCTTATTATAGTTTCCTCTATGATAGTCAACTAATTTGCCTTCTATCCATTGACTATCTCTGAAAAATCCTAGGCCTGTTAAACTTGATGTATCAATGAACTTCAAAAATTACTGAAACATGAACAATTCGTGAATTTATTTATTAATGAAGATTGAGTGAAAAAGGTGACATAGATAGGAAAAAAAATCATTGGCTTTCCTAAGAATCTTGAAAGTATTGAAGCAACATCTGTTCAGTCTTTTATATGATTTCTCTATTATCAGATTATAAAGATATCATTACATTAGTAATAATTCATTACATTTCAGACATCAATACATTTGTAAATATTAATTAACGTTGCACAAAATTACGCTTTATTTAATTTACATTGGCAAATGCCAAGAGGATTTCGGGAAATTTTAATTTTTCTGCGACTTTTGATCTTTTGTTCTTTTTGTTAGATAATAACTGAAATGAATAAAAAGTACTTTTGCATACTTTTGAAAGTTTTAAAGCATTGGGTATATTACTAATCATTCATTCAAGTTCTTAAAATCAAAAATGCAATAATGATTAATAAACTATATTGTGATAAAGAAAAATCAGTTCTATATCTTTTAATTGGTTAAATAGTGTTTATAATTTGTCAGTTAATTATTTATACTTTGGGATCTTTCCTTCCCCTTTCCTTCACATCTGCGAAATTAAACCTGCAAAATGTAGGATCAATGAAATCAACAGTAAATTTTGTCAATATATTTTTCAGAGTATTTATTAAAGAATTTTATTTTAGTATTTAGTGGAATTAAGAATAATCAAACTATGAAGATTTATTTATGTGAATAAATAGCCACATTTATTTATTTATTTTATAACTTTGTTTTTCAGCAAATTCTAAAAAGTATAAAAATAATTATACAAAATAATGTAAAACATTGGATAGAAAATTTCGTGAATATTTCTTAAAGTAATACCTATGAATCTATGAATCTTAACTATAACTGAATAAATGACCTTTCATATTCTCTGAAAATCTAATTATATACATTATTTAAAACAAATGAATCTAAGCATTTAACGAAACGTGCATATTCAAACTTGAAGCGAAGTCACGAAAGACTCTGACACCTTCCATGACGTCACTCTGTAGCTAACCAGGCCATGTTCTTCTAGTTGGCCATGACATCTGTTCCTGGATGCAGCTTCCAGGGGATGCCAATTAATGTTCCCCTTTATATTTTGGTGTATAGGAGGAGGCACAAAATCTTCAGTTGTCCTGAGTTGCTGATAACCCTATCTGTGCCTCTGCTACTGAAATTAATCATTTGGGATTGAGCTAAATTTGGGTCGGAATTACGATGTTAAAAGCTCAAAAATACCACAGCTAAGCTCAGGATGAATTTAAGCACTTTGCGTAAATTAAATATTTTGTTCAAATTTTTATGTAATTGTTACTATTTAAATATTCAGTTTTCTTTATTGGGGCATTTAGTCAGTATTATGCTTTGGAAATTAAATCAAATGCCAAATTGAAATTAAATCCTTACTGGGAAGCTAGAATTATTTCTAAACATATAACCTAATGAACTTTTGATTTTCTACCTTTTGCATATTAATTTAAATTTATAAATATTATCATATGTGATTATAAAATTCCATAAAAAGTTTAATGTTATTATTTCTTGTAGATCAAGGATGAAGACGTACAGATGTCCCAGTTAACTCAGAGAGAACGGAGGTTTATTAAATTTGCTTCAGTTGAATATGATGGGCAATTATATATGACACCTCAAGATTTTTTAGATTCTGTAACTGATACTGATCCAAGACGTAAGTACGGCTAATTTTCTTTCTTTTCTTTTCCTTTCTTTTTTAAATGTTTCTTCTGTATTTAATTTAAAAGTTTCTTTGAAGCCAAAAGTGATAGGGATCAGCATGGACTTGCTGTCATCTAAGACAGCATGATGTAATGTTTAGAGTTATCAAGTGCTTCTCTATTTTTTTTTTTTTAGCCCAAAGGAGCTGTTTTTCCAGAAGGGTTATTAACTTCATTTTCGCATTTTGCGCTGTTTCGCTATAAATGGTGAATCAGAATCACTTCTTAAATTGTTGCCACCAAATATTAGAGCCCTGTATTGTATTTAACGAAATTAAATAATGAAGAATCTCCATAAATGCATGTATGTTTCTCGTATTGTAATAAGACAATGGTACCTAGAGTAATCAAATTTTGAATAATGTACATCTCATCCCGAATATGGGCATCTGGAGGCCCAAATCTGGAATTTGTTTTATTATGTATTTTATAGTTTGTAAAGCATTTATGAGTTTTTGTTTAAGAAACTCCACAATTTCAAAGCAAGCAATGGCAACACTGTATGGGGGGAAGGGAGAAAATAAATCTTCAGCACACGAGACTGTATATCGGAAATTCTAAAGTATGCTCTTTTAAATATTTTGTGATATTGCTGTTGAATTGAGTTGTATGGTTTAAGTGTGAAGAACAATATAATAAATAAAGGTAACACACAAAGCGCTAAAAAAAAGGCTCTTTAGGCATAAAATAAAATCTAAAAGCCTTCAGGTTTTTTTTTTTTGGGGGGGAGGATAAATACAAAACAAGCTCATAATTTCTCCTGGTATTGTAGTTAAAGTAATGACCTGTCATAAAAATAATGGTAACTTATAATAAATTCTCCATTTTTATCTCTAGCTTATTTCAAAATTTTCATGCATGAATGGGAACATAATGGAAAGACCTAAATTTGCAAATGTGACAAATCGGAAATTTGCAAATTGTTTGAATACATTATACATTACATAACCAAAAATCATTGGATATTCTGTAGTTTCAAATGGATTTATTACTATAACATGGTTACTAATCACCATTTGTTTAAAATTAAAGACTAAAGATAAGATTGTGGAAAAAAAAAAAGTAAAGACTTAAGATATGATTTAAAAGTAAAGGCTAAAGATAAGATTGGGAGAATTCTTTGCTGCACAGGTGAAAAAAAAAAAAAAAAAAAAAAAAAAAAAAAAAAAAACAGGATTTGATAATCCGAACTTATATATTCAGTTAGAAAGTTTACTGTTCAATTCAATTTACTACTGATGACTATCAACAGTATTATCTCGATGGGAAAATATCAGGAAAGATGTACTCAACCGTACTGATTTAGTCAAGTCCAAGAAACTTAGACATTAGAACCAAGTAATAATTAATATGATTGCTTGCAAAAAAAAAATTTCAAGCAATCATATTAATTATTGCAAATGATTTCCATTTCAACTCTGAAAAAGAGGCTAAAAAAGCTGTAGAAAAATAATTGTATGTGGAAATAACTGCTGGTATCATATGGCAGTCGCTATTTGGAAGGTGATTGTTATGTGCCTTTCACAGTCATGATGCTCCTTAAAAGCTACTAATAACACTTGCTAATGCCCGACATTGTTTGGAATAATGCACAGAACTCCATATTGCGAGAGGATTCTGTGGAGCAATATGTCATAGTGTGTGATTTAGCATGCTGTCAGAGTGTCTAGATTTTGCAAGATACCTAGCAAGTGGCATTTACTGAAGCATATTTAAGGAATGGTGAAATTTAGAATGATTCCTTGTAATATGAGTCTTTGAAATCTCACATTTACCCCAGGCATCCTAAAAAATAATGTGCTTGCAGCACAGTAACAACAGTTTAGAGCAGGCCTTTATTTGTTTTAGCACAATAATTATGCAAATTAATAAAACAAGATCTGAATCATGATAATTTGGATACATGTAAGTGAGGAAGTTTAATTAGCTGCCTTTAGACCATGTTTATTATGCCATTAACAATCATTAGGCTAACCAAAAGCAGTGATCTTTAACTGATGGTGCATGTTCAGCCCCTGAAGCAATTTTATGCAGTATGCAGATACATTTCTTGTAAATTAATTAGCATAATTTTCACAAATCTTTTAAGATTTGAATTGTTTAAAAGTCCAGTTTTATATTATTTTCATTGCCAAAATGAAGCTTGAGTAATGCCGTGGAAAATATAGAGGTAGAGTTAATTATTTATACTGTAAATAGAAATCTTTTTTAAAGATTTGAAGATACAAATTTGATTAACTTTTATTAGTACTTTTCAAAAGATTAATACCATCAATTACAGATTTTTGAAGTAAAAATAATTACTTTGTGTTGAAGTACATTTACATGAGAAGCGATTTTTCCATAATTGAAAATTAATGAGTCTACTAAAAGAATTAAATTGCTGATGAGTATCTGCAGTTTGTGATGATATTTTCTAGTAAGTTTCCTCCAAAGTTATAGACTTTGTGAAAACTGAAATACCATGAGCTGTGGTAGATAAAAATTGTAGTAAGAAACAAAGTGCATAATTATTTACATATAAATATGTATTTTTATATGCATCATAGAAAAATATAATAAATAAAAGAAAAGACCAGTCATTATTTGTCATTTCTTATTCTCAAGTTTTGTCTCTCTAGGGAAGTTTTCATGCATTTCTTTTAATTTAAGAAAGTTATTTAATGGTTATTATGAGGGCAATATGGAAAATAACCTCCATTGTGACATGGTGCTAGTAGTAATGGGTGGAGTGTAGCCATTGTTAGATCAAGCAATCTGTGATTCGGTAAGTGACCTAGTGAGAGTGTCATATTGCCATATGTGTGCTGGTTGTAATATCACAAAATGTGCACTGCTATTGAAATGCCTCATCTAATGGTAACATTTCTGAGATGTTGAAGTTTTTCAAACAGCATCAATGATAAATTAGGTACCTTGTAAAAAAGAGCGTGCTTGCTTAGCTGCATGAGTAATAAATGCTGTGATAGTGCAATAAATCTAGTGCAGCAATTATGTGAGAAATTAAAAGGCTAAGCTATAAACACTTTATTCCCAATGATTTAAGCAGCAAAAAAGAAATATAGCAATAGAAAATTAAAAATGTAAATTTTCTAATAAAATTTGTAGCAATCACGTGGTGCGAGAGACTTTGGTGGCTACAAGTGAGTAGTTGCTTGTTCATGTCGCCATCTGTTAGCACCAGTGAAAAGTGCTACAGTGCACAAGTTTTGCATGCCCTTGAAGATGGTAATGACCTTGGGATTCAATTCTGTGTCTGTTTAACGTGATTTTGAATTTGCTACCTATTAGCACAAAAGAGCTTCTGTACACTAGGTTCAAGAATTCCAACTCTTTCAAATTTGCGAGCTTTGAGTTGCTCTTGAGATTGCTACAAATTAGACAGCATCAAGGAGAAATAAGTAAATAAAGTATTAATATTATTACCTTTTAGAGTAATAGTATTGTAAGCATTTACACTAATAATTAATTTTAAATAAATTAAAATTACCGAGCTAAGAGGATTTATTAATATTTATCTAAAAAGAATGGATAATGTTACGAACTGATATAAGTATTTCCTCTCATATCTAGCAGTTGAAAGGCTAATTATATATATCAGAAGCTAAAAGCTACGATTTGAAAGTAGAAAGATTTTGAATCCTTGGATAGCATTAACAAGATTTTAAGGGTTATAAAAATGCAATATGAGCAATTCATTTTTACTTTAATGCATACCAAATTTTCATTTAATATTCATTTTCAAATATTTCTGTTTTGGGGATCTTTGATGCCTACTAATGGGGGATGAAAAAGTTATGTATTATTTCTTAATATGTAGAGTTAGTTGATTCATAAGACCCTCATTAATTAAAATTTGTGCAGTTGGTATGCACCTGGATTCCCATGTGAAGAGCTGAATTTTGTACTAAATTCAGAAGAAATGCTTTTTGTAATAATAATCTATTGAGTTCATTAAAAAGGGAAAAAACTTTTTTCCTTTAACAAGATTACCTCCAAAAAACTTTTTTCTCTTAATTTTTAAGTTATTTATTACAAAGATTATCTCATTAAGCAGTAAATTTAGCATAGTTTTTTCCCATTTAAAATGTGAATAATAGTGTGGACATTTTTACCAGGCATTCCTTAGTACTTTAACAACAAAGCATGCTAACTGCTGTCTTAAGTAAAATTTATACTCTGTGCAGGGAATGCCAAATGATATTTTATGTAGAATAATGGCATTGTGGTCTGTAGACATTGAAAGTACTTGCAAACACATGCACATTCAGTAGTACTTCATTTAATTTAGTAGTTATGATAATTACAAACAGCAACTGATCTTTTTTTCCCCCATTTTTTAAGAATGCTCCCATTCACACAAAATACGTACCATTTGATGTTCACTGAACTAACTGCCAAAGGTATTTTACCATTATGTACCTGCCATACCTTTTGCTTGTGAAAGAAAAGCCAAACATATTTTGAGACTCAATGACAGTGTCATCTGGGAACTTAATCAATTGTGTGTGGGGGGGTAGTGTTTAATTTAACACATTTAATTGTGTGTTTACAATTTAAAAACCCACAAAAATGCATGGAAGTTGCATAATGGGAAAAGTACTCAGCCAAACATTAAACTAACTATGCATGATTGTTAAAGTCTAAAGAATGATTACTGAGAACTTACTTGCACTTTTATATACACTTTTTATACAACAAATTAAACATGGTTTTCACTAGTATATTAAATAATCAGATATAGACTGTTTCTGTTTCACTAGAAGAATGTACTAAAAATTAAAAACAAATATATATGATTATGAGTTGGTATTCATTTTAGGTATCTAGTATGAGCAAATGACATCTGTAAAATTTTTTCGGTACTTACGGAAAATCCCATCGACCATTCTTGCCTATTAAAGAAAAGATGCCAAACTGTGATTTATCGCCAAAAATGGGAAAGTCTTCTTCAAACACATTGGGTTTGGTGTAACCTTGATTACACATGTTATTTATTATTCTTAAGTAAAGACTTCTTTTTTTCCCCTGTATCGCGCATTTACGAAAAAAAATTATTAAAATTTGGGACCTGTCTATTACAGAAGAGCATGTTGTTGCTGTTCAATATTTCCGAAGTTATGGAATCTTACTGGTGATTAAATTAAAACCTAGCGAAAATAATTGCTTTTACAGTATATCTCCTTAATAAAATATAATGGAAATTTTAATGAAAAATTAAATATAAATAAATGATTATATAATAAATCTGAAGAAAAATAAGAATAGAACGTTTTTTTCTTGTATTTAGTAATTTTTTTGGGGGGGGGGTTTGGTGCGATTGGCGCCGTCTCTTGTGGTCGACGGGATTTTCCGTAATTACCATTTTTTCCTTATGGAAGTACAGCAGAGTATTTAGTATTGTTAACCATTAATTGATATGTTGAAAAACTTGCCTAGTGGGGATCTTAAAGTCCATAAATAAAGTTATATTTTTTATGTGCTTTAAAATTAATTATTATTTTTCACAGAAATAACAGTAATTTCCATCCATTTTATTTTAAGATAATTTTCAGTAAAATCATTTGGTGATTTTGCTGAAAATCATATTAGCTCCAAGGTGCATGTGATATTCTTCAGGTAAATAAGCAATAACAAACAAGTCTTTGTAAGATACGGTGCATTGTTCCTTGTCAAGGTTAGTACAGAATTTGATGCTTATGTTTTATTGCAACCACTTTAGTAGAAGCCACCAAATTATCACAATGTGCCAAACTCTGGCAACTGCATGCTTAACAATCCTTTAGTCAAGCAGTGTTACTATTTTCATGTTTGTTCTTTTTGTTGTATTTTAACAGTTTTTATAGACAAATTATGATTTCTTTGTCTTAAACTCAGTTCCAAATTATGCACTTGTAGAATTTGTCAGCAGAGGAAGAAATTGCAGGAATACAATATTTTGTCACAAAACCACCAAAAGGAATAATTGTTTTGAATCTGTTATCAAATTATTTTGACTAGCGTGTAAGTATGTTCATGGATTAATTTTTGGGATAAATACCTAATTAAAATGTAAAAATATAAATGCAATAATATTTATGTATGTAATAAGTAAATTTGTGTAATTGAATTTACTTATCATATACATAAATAGGTGCCAACGAAATGATGACTTATGTCATTATTCTTTTTCATGTGGAAAAATTGCTAAATTGTGCCAAGTTGTTTGTGTTAATATGTAAGTACCGAGAATTTTTCATTAAATTAAAATTCTAATCATTCTGCATTTAACCCGTAACTGGGGAGGTGCGGTCTCGGAGGCCACTACAGATGTTGTTCCTATCATCCCTATTCTATATTTAGTCTGATTGAGTGGATTCTCTTGCTAGCTTCTCCTTTTGGGACCTTGATAATTCTCACATATTGGCTAACATTTTTTGCACCTGCTTCATTGTGAAATTCTACTCCATTGTCTGAGAGTGGTATGTCAGACCGCACCTCCCTCTCAGTGTTACAATATCTGTCCCAGGTGGAAACATGGCTCTGAGACTCAGTCCGAGAAATATCATATATCCTTCTAATTTGCGTTATGCAGAAGTGCTGTAAAGAATTCTTGATGACGTGGAAAGTGAATTTAGCGATGAAGATGAATGCCAAGAAGATTTTGCAACTGAAAGTTCGCATTCCACGACATCAGAATTTTCTGAATCTAACAATGAATGCACTGAACCAGAGACTTAATCCATTTCATCTATAAAATATTATTATGGCAGGAACCGCTTCAAGTGGTCATCTATTGAACCTCAATGAAATGTGAAAACTCCTGCGTATAATATAGTTCATCTTCTAGGATTAAGAGCATATGGAAAATTGGGTGAAAATACGGATCCTAAAAGCGTTTGGGAAGTCCTTTTCACAAACGAAATATTAGAAAAAAAGAAAGAACTGAAAACTTTGTATTTATGCGCAAGTTGTAAAATGCCAGTTTGTTTGGTATGTACATAAAAATTATGTCATGAATATGCACAAGAATATGCTGAGTAAGTTGATATCTTTTGTAAGAACACAATGGTATTACTGATAGTAAGGTACTGTCATTTTTATTTTTATGTTTTGTACAATATTTGTATTTTTCATCTGAATGTATCTATCACATGTTAAATTAATGGAAAATAATTATTATTCATAAAAATAATAGTTATTCTGGTTTGTTTTACATAACTCACATTTGCAAGTGGTTTTGCATAGAAAAAGTTCATGTTACAGAAAAGATGTTCCTAGTGTTGATTAATTTCTTTGTAAAATAATTTTTTTTTTCTGTTCGAAGATAAATGCTTATAGAATGTATGGGTAAAATAAAATTTTAATATTTTGATTAGAACATTATATTTAAACCATAACGAGACGCTGCTCTGTGACCGCATGTCCCCGGTTATGTCCCAATATTTGACCTCGCCTGTTATGGGTTAAATGTCCTCTGAAGGATCCCTACCATTAGACAGATAGCCTTAACTGCTTTGTTATAATCTAAATAATCCTATACTGTTTACCAGGATTTGAATCCTTGTTGAATTACTTATGTTCAAAGGAGTTATCAATTGATTGCTGGGGATCCTGCATATCTGAAATCTATAACTAGATTTAGTTCGCTAACTACAACTAGTGTAAAACAGATTACTGCTTTGATAATTTTTTCCCTGTACCTTATATGTACTATACATTCATATTTAGATAGCATATTTATTATCACATAATGTGTATGGTATTTATATTGCGCCAAAATGACTATAGTGTGAGATACATTACTTCTGAAATTTTTTACATTCTTGCATAATTTTTCAAAGATTGATTTTGCAGCAGTTTTCATCACCTTTCATTTTAAGTTATATGTGTATTGACAGCCAAAATAGTATTTTGCTTTATGCCTCTGCATTTATTATTTTATGTGCATGACTCTGTCAAATTTCCATATTTTCAAAATTTCATTTTGAAAATTTTGGGAAGTGGCAAATAATGTTTTATTGTTTAATCTCATTATTTTCCACATTTTTTTAATTCCCTATATATAGAATATTAGAAACTAAAATCTTTTCTTGTATTTCTAGATGAGCAGAAGCATATCTCTATTTTTTTTCTTTTTATGTTTTTATCCAGAAAGGCTGAGAGTTCAGGGTTGGCAACTTTTCTTGTCGGATTTTCCTTAAAATATCTGAAATCATTTACAATTCCCAGTTTAAGATTTAGGAAAACTCACTGCAGAGTTACTTCCAATTTGACAATGAAAACACAAAAACACTGTCATTGAACTTATTGAAGACTGAGTGCATAACTCAGAATTGAACACAAGTCTGTTAGATGATAGACTGGAATGTCACAGAGCAGTTTTTTTTTTTTTTTTTTTTTTTTTTTACAAAAATCCACCTTTACCAAACTATTTCTTGCATGTCTGAAAATGTTGCCAATTTGGTAATGAATTTTGTCACTAAGCTCAGCTGGTTTTAAGTTGTGGTATCTGTAATTCCACTGAATTTATAAATTCACAAAAATTATTTAATTGAACAAATCTAAGGGGGTGATGCTTTCATAGAGTACTTTCTAAAGGGAACTTATATTTATGTGTTGAAAATCCATCAAAAACATCTAAAAACACCTAAACAGCCATCCTTGGAATTAAACCCAAGTTTTTGCAGTTTTCAACCTCTCAGCCATTGGTGAACTTAACTTTACAATGAAACAATATGCAAAACAAATGTTTATGCATTTTTTTTTTAGTTTTTATATAATGTTAAAAAATTAAATTTTAGAAAAAATTGTAGTGAGGTTTATTTATGCATAATTTTATAAAATGAAATAACATTAACTTTTGAGTATGACAGTGATTCATATTATTACCAACGACATATTTTAATTTTTTTATAATAATGAATGCTTTTATAATTTTAGCACGACTCAAGAGAAAGGTGTTAACAAAAAAGGAACTTCACTCTTTGTATGACAGTACACCACCAAGGCGCAAAGGAAGCACAAATTTATTTCGCTCTCTGCATGAAAAAGGTGAGCATCTCTTTGTGTAAACAACCAAAGAAATGTTTTTCTGCAATTTCATTTTTATTTTAATATTAATAAAAATTACGTGTTTGGTAACAAATTTAAGATGTTGGCACTCTCATCATATGTTACACACTTACACACTTCCATGCATCAAAAACATTAAAATTTTATGCATTAATTTTATACATTTAGATACAGAGAGAATTAAAATTTAAACTGAATGAAGAAATTGAAGAATGTACTATAAATATAAGGTTTTAAGTCACGTAAAAGAATGCTAATATTGACTTCCAAACAATAAGAGATTCTTGTGCTGCTGCATACACTTGCTGGAAAGCATGCCAGCTTCTGTATGTATACATATATGTATATATACGTACACGGTAAGTCAAAATGAATATAGCAGTTACAAACAGCTATAACTATTTAATGGAAAAGAATTTATCGAAAAGAGTAACACAGAATGTAGATGGAACTACAAAATTTCTTTATGTAAGGCGCAGGTGCAGGGAAGCAGAAGCCTATGCATGCGAGTTGAAACTTCGCAATGACAAGAAACCTGTTAAATGCGGCTGTCTCATTAGTAAAAATGGCGAGTCCTGTGCAGAAAGCATTCTGCGCGTTAGAATTTGAAAAATGTCATTCTGTTATAACAATGCAGAGAAGATTTTGTCAGCATTATGAACAAGAACCTCTAAATGCGAACAACATATGCAGATGGCTTTGGATCTTTAAAGAAACAGGATCTCTGTGCAAAGGGAAAAGTAGCAGAATGCTACGTGTCTCAGCAGATAATGTAGAAAGACTTTGCCGCACGTATGAACGAAGCCCACGGAAATTGACATACGAAGGCAGTAAGGAGTTACAAATGCCACAAAAAACAGTATGGCATGTTCTCAGAAAGAGGCTGCAAATGAAACTGTACATCATTCAGCTTGTGCAGCAACTGAATCAGGAAGACTACAGCAAATGTATGAATTACTCTACATTTATGCTGGAAAGCATGAAGGATGAAACAATGGGATTATCGTCTCATTTTTAGCGATGAATCAGATTTCCACATAAGTGGGAAGGTTAACCGGTACAACAGTCGAATATGGGGTACGGAGAAACTTTCCACTGTAATTGAACATGAACATAATTCAGCAAATATTAATGTGTTCTGTGCGATTTCATCACGTAAATTATACGGTCCTTTTTTTTTTTTCTGCAGTGAGCGAAGTGTAACATCAAATGTTTACCTAGACATGCTTGAGGTATGGTTAAGGCGACAGCTAGACTCTGATTCCTCGGATTACATCTTTCATCAAGATGGAGCACCCCCACAATGGAGTATGGAGGTTCACACATTTTTAAATCAACATCTTTCAAAGCATTGGATTGGTCGAAGTGGAGCTGCAGACGATGTCTTCTACTCTTGGTCACCGAGATCTCTGGACTTGACACCCTGCAATTGTTTTCTATGGGATTATGTGAAAGACAGGGTGTTTGTGCCTCCCATGCCCAAAACAGTTGAAGAACTCAAAGTATGCATTTATAATGTGCTTGCGTGGGTGACTCAACAAACGCTTCAGAATGTATGGCAGGAAATGGACTATCACCTAGATGTTGTCCGTGTGACCAAGGGAAGTCTATGACGTATGTATACAAAATTTTGAAGTTCCCTTTACATTATGTCTTAAAGATAAATTCGTTTTCAATAATTAGTTATAGCCATTTGTAATCGCTATATTCATTTTGACTTACCCCATATTTCCAGCAACACAAGATTTCTTCAGTTTCAATTTTATTATTAGCATTCTTTTAGTTCATTTACTTGTGTATTCCCTCCCTTTTTTTAACTAATTTTATTTTACGAAAATCAAAAGGGGGAAAATTATGCCAATAATCATACCTGCCAACTTTTACGAATTTTTCGTAATTTTTACGAAAATGCGTTTGTCGTTACGATTTTACAATTGTAATCCACTTTTTACGATTTTTTTCCTTTTTCAAGTGTTTTTAGTGATTTTTGTCGAAATTTTAGAATTTTTCGCCAATTCAGCAATTTTTGCCAATTGCATCGTGTTTTACCACCAACTACCGACTACTTCGAATCCAGTAACCTGCGGTTTCTCCCAACTCGTCGCTTAACCAGCCAATCCAATGCGTGGAACTTGTTTCTCCCACTCTTTTGATTCGTGGGCGCCAGATTATTTTTTTTCGCGTTTCGCTTCAGCAGCAAGGGAATTACTCAGCAAGAATGCGTGGATTGTTTTATCGCATTTTTTATTTTTTGTTGTTGTTGTTGTTTGTTTGTTTGTTTGCACGTGTTACGAATTTTCTTTAATACGTCGTTGTTACGAAATGAGTTCAAAAAAACCGTATTGTGAAGAAAAACAAAAGTATGTTTCGTCCTGCTTACAAAGCCGAATTTCCAACAATTAAAGAATCCTTCAAAGGAAATAACTATGCATTTTGCAACGTGTGCGTGTGTGACTTCATAATATGTCAGGGTGGAAGAAGCGACATTGTGAAGCATGCTAAGTCAAAAAAGCATGAAGTTAATGCTTCGGCTTCGACAACGTCAAAGAAAGGCTACGAATTCGGATGCCGATGTCATTTTGGCAGCGTGTTTGTTTACTGCATTCCTCATCGAACACTTTGTTAAAGAAGTTGAAGGGAAGAAGAAACAGTCTTCTATTAGCCGGGAGGAAAGGATTTTCTATCTTCGGATTTGAACAAAACATATTGTAGTTTTCTGTTAAGTACCATTAAGATTTTTGAAAGTGTAAATTCGCTTCTACAATCAGCTTCGCCAAAAATCTCCCCTGCTTATCCAAATTCTTAATGATCTTTTGAAAGAACTTTTAACTAAGTTTGTAAAGCCGTCCGTTGTGAAAAACATGTGTTGTTTTATATTGCCTATAATAGTTTGGCAAATCAAAAGGATGGACAATGATCTTATAATCGGAAATCAAACCAGGGAACTTGTAAATTCTTTGAAAGATCATGAGAAAAAAGAATTTTTTCAATGTGTTAGAAAGTTCTTTTCCTCAGCCTGTGATTACATTGTGAGGAAGTTTCCTTTGCAAAATGAAGTTCTTTTAAATGCTGAAGTGGCAAATTTGAAACAAATTGAAAATTCATCTTTTGAAAAGATTCGCTTTTTTATTGATAAATTTCCATTTTTGTTAACAATTAAAGAAAATGAATGCCATAATGATGCTTTAGATGAACTACAGAACCAATTTTCTGCTGCACAGTTTGAAGACTTTGCCAGTTCTGGAGAAGATAGACTTGATGTCCTCGTTGGTACCTTAAAAAGAATAAAAAGAGCTGATGGAACACCAAAATATGATAGACTAGCAAGAGTTTTATGTGCTATTCTCGTAATTCCACACAGTAATGCTGAGTGCGAGAGAGTCTTCAGTGTTGTGAAGAAAAACAAAACTATGTTTCGTTCTTCAATTTCACCAAAAACTCTAGAAAACATTTTAATTGCTAAATGTTATGAGGAAACTAATTGTTATGACAGGAAATTTTCCAAAGAATTTTTGGCTAAAGCCAAAAAATGCACTCTAAATTCATTGCAATAATTTTTTTGTGTAACATTAAGTTCTTGTTTTATGTTTCCTAATAAATTTTTTAGTTACTACTTAATTGAGATTTACTAATTTAAGTACAATTTTCTTTTTTCTATTTGTATAAATTGGTATTTTTTTAATATCAAAGCATGATATAAATTAAACTAGAAGAGAAACACGCTAATGTGATATAAATTCTTTGTGTTCTTCTGAATTTTGGAGAAATCTTCTGAATTTGGGGGAGAAATCTTCTGAATTTTTATCTTTAGAGGTTGGCAGGTATGCAATAATTCAATTTCCAAAGGACACAGTTATAGTAAGAACATAAAAAAAAAATATTCATGGATGAACTACCAATATTTATCACAATATTGCTTATTTAAAAGAAACATTCCATTAAGAATGCAGTGATATTAACATTACATTATCTAATAAGATATTTTCCCTTCTGTATCTTGAATCTCGTCTACTATTGTTGTTGCTCACAGCTATTCCCTAGGCCTCATATTTAAGAAGTTGCTGACATTATCATTATTGTCATAGTCTCTGTTACTATGCAATTGGTCTTATCTCGCACAGTGATTTTCAGAACCATCAAAAGCATTAGATATCTCTATTTTCTTGAAGTTCTTCATGCTGCATCAGTCAGAATTTGTGCACCCAAAATACACGAGCAGATTAGTTAGTAAGACAAAAACAGCCACTTCTTGGAAGATTCCAGTTTAAAATTTAGTCAAATTCTCTATTTAAATGCCTTGAGGAAGGGAAAATTTACACAAATATTTAAAAAATTTTGAGAACCTTGGGCTGAAAAACAGGAGTAAATACAGTATATATATCACATGGTAGTGTATATACATGCAGTATATATACATATACAGTATATATACATCATGGTAGAATCTGTCATGGCAGATTTAAATTTCTTTTCTATTTTAAATAACATTTGCAGCCTTAAATAGCTTGGCACTCTAATTGTCCCTGTCTCAAAACATATACATTTTTGATAGCTTTGCAGTATGAAGAGAAGCAGCAATCTGGCTTGGCCAAGGAGCAAAAGCAAAGTTCGATGTGCTGGGATACAGAATTGTGGCTCAGGATAAATTAGTTTCGATTTCGTAGCCATTTGATTGACTAATTAATATCTAAACTGCTCTAGCTTGCAAAACCCTTTACGTCACCAACAGTATGTAAGTCTTATGATATGGATTAATCTAGAAATGATACAGTCCAGAAAAATTTATTATAAGCAGCTAGTTTTTATAGAACAGAAAGTTGAAATACCCAAACTAAAATGAATAACTAGGGACTATATTGGTAATATATGTTAGAATAATTGATTTACATGTTTTTCATCTTATATGTATCTTATACAGTCAAACGTCGTTAATCCGGACTCGTCGGGACTTCGGCGATTCCGTATTATAGATCATCAGT